AATTCAATGATGTATAACAAACAACCTATCAAAATTGAGCAAGTGCGGCAAACACTTAACTCTTGTGATGTTCGAAAATGCATTTTGAAGGAGACAAAAGTACGAAGCTAGTGTACTCTTTGTAATAGGTCGTACTAGACAACAGGAAAGGAGAAAATGAAAGTACAGATCAAAGTCTCGTGTGGAAAAAAATGAATGCGCAGTCTTGGGGCTGTCACTAGAAGAGGCACATTGAACGAGATTGCTCTATTTTGAAGTCCAAAGAAAAGGTGAGTGTATCCATTGTTCAGCAAGTACATGATAAGAATAATGATTATGTACTAACAACATCATGCAATAGTGAAGTCTATGACAACAAATGGGTCTTAGACTCTGGTTGTACTCTGCATATGACATTTCAAACAGATTGGTTCAGTATCTATGAATAAAGTGTAAGAATCGTACTAATTGGCAATATTGCAATTTATAAAATAGTCGGCATTGGTTCAGTTCGTGTTCGATGCCATGATGGGATCGTGAGGACTATTACAAAAGTCCGTCATATTCCTGATCTAAAGAAGAATTTGATCTCCCTTGTTACTTTGGATAAACAAGGCTATAAGTACATGAGTGAAGGAGGAATTATGAAAGTGACTAAAGGGTATTTAGTCATGTTGAAGGCCAAGCTGGAGGATGACCTTTATACACTTGCGGGAAGTACCATTATTGGCTCTGTAAATACATCTACATTGCAGTTATCTAATAATGACAAGGCAAAAATATGGCACGTGAGACTAGGCCATATGAGAGTGCAAGGATAGGAGATGATGAGCAACCGCAACCTTTTGAATGATGAAAAGATCAGCACACTTGAATTTTGTGAGCACTGCGTCTTAGGGAAGCAGAAAAAGGTCAGCTTCAGCACTGGCAACACTAGACGTGAGGGATGCTAGACTACATCCATTCAAATTTATGGGGTCCCTCGAAGCATCCATCGAAGGGAGGAAAAAGGTATCTTCTCACATTCATTGATATTTTTTTCACGAAAGGTTTGGGTTCATTTCCTAAAGACAAAAGGTGATTCTTTTGAAGCATTTAATGAGTAGCAGATTTTGGTTGAAAATCAAAAGAGAGGAAAATCAAGTATCTTTGCACAAAAAATGGCTTGGAGTTTTGCAGTGAAGAGTTCAATGATTTTTGTAAGGTTCATGGGATTGCAAGGCATAATACGGTCAGGCACACACCACAGCAGAATGCAGTTGCCGAGAGAATCACCAAAACTCTTCTTGAGAAGGCTCGTTGTATACTCTTACAAGCCAATATGTCCAAAGTATTTTGGACTGAAGCAGTTCATACTACTTCTCATTTGTCAATCGGTCTTCAACATCAGTGATTGACTTTAAGACTCCGAATGAGGTTTGGTTAGGTGAACCCTCTAACTATTCATACCTATAAATATTTGGGGGTCCAGCTTATTATCATGTTAATGAAGGAAAGCTTGAACGAAGGGCTAAATAAGCCATATTCGTAGGATATGTAGATGGAGTAAAATGGCAAAAAAGTTGGTGTTTGTCTTTACAAAAATTTGTAGTTAGTAGAGATGTTACCTTTGATTAATCCTACATACTTGATCCTCATAAAGTTTATGTGGAGTTATCAAGAGACGAGAACAACGAGCAGGTGGAGCTACCAGTGGAGGTTACCAAGGAATAACATCAATAGACTCAAATTGATGAGTCAAAAGATGCAGATCTTAATGAACTTGCTGCCAATGAACAATACACAATTTCTAAGAGAAGGGACAAAAGGCAGATACGGAAATCGGAACATCTTATTGAGTAAGAAAATCTGATTGCACATGCATTCATAGCTGCAGGTGAAGAGATTTTGGATCTTGAGTCCTCTTCATATATTGAAGCAACTTCTTGCAAAGATGATGCACAACGACAGGTAGCCATGATGGAAGAGATTGAGTCTGAGTCGATTCACAAAAATGAGACATAGGTCTTTGTTAATTGGCCAAAGGGGATAAGGATAGCTGGATGCAAATGGGTCTACAGAAACAAAGAAGGTATTCCAGAAGTGGAAGATACTAGGTTCAAGGCGAGATTGGTTGCAAAGGGTTTCATCCAGAAGGAGGGAATTGACTACAATGAGATCTTCTCTCCAGTCGTGAAACATAGCTCAATTCACGTGCTACTAGCATTGGTTGCACAATTTGATTTAGAGCTTCAAAAGCTTGATGTCAAAACTACATTCTTACATGGTGATCTAGAAGAGACAATCTACATGGATTAGCATGAAGGTTTCTTAGCTGAAGGAAAAGAAGACCGGATATGCCAACTGAAATAGTCTTTTTATGGTTTGAAAAAATCCCCTAGACAATGGTACAAGAGGTTTGATGCATTCATGAGTAAACATGGATTTTTAAAGAGTGCATTTGATAGTTGTGTGTATCACAAGAAGATGTTTGGTAACTCTATGATTTATATATTATTGTATGTTGATGATATGCTTATTGCTGCTAACAACATCACATAGATAAATATTTTGAAGAAACTATTCAGCAAGGAATTTGACATGAAGGAATTGGCAGTTGCAAAGAAAATCCTTGGAATTGAGATTTCAAGAGAAAATGGTGTTCTACATCTTTCTTTGAAGAGGTACATCAAAAAAATTCTTGAAAGATTCAATATGCATATGAAGAAGCCTGTAAGTACACCGTTAGCTTGTCATTTCAAGCATTCAGAGTTACAAATGCCTTAGTCTATGGATGAGGTGGAGCGTATGTCAAAGGCTCCTTATGAGAGCAAAGTTGGTAGAATAATGTATGTAATAGTGTGTGCACGTCTAGATATTGCTCAATCTGTAAGTGTGGTATGCAGATACATGGAAAATCCAGGAAAAAGGCACAGGAAAGTTGTCAAGTAGATATTGAGATATCTCAAATGAGCTCCTGATGTTGGCCTAACCTTCTGAGAAAGTTAAGGCATTTCAATTCTCGATTATGTAGATTCTGACTATGCAGGGGATCTTGATCGAAGAAGGTCCACAACTGGACAAATCTTTACTCTTGTTGGTAGTGTCGTTAGTTGGAAATAGACTTTACAGTCGATTGTTGCTTTGTCTACAACAGAGGAAAAATATATTGAAGCAATGGAGGTAGTGAAAAAAGCTATCTGGTTGAAAGATTTAGTGGCAGAATTGAGTTCGGTTCAGCTGGAATAAATTTTAAGATGTGATATTCAAAGTGCTATTCATTCGATTAAAAATCAAAGATTTCATGATCACACCAAACACAATGATGAGAGATTTGATTTTACTCATGATGTCGTAGAAGAGGGAGATATCAAGGTTGGGAAGGTTATCACAGACGATAACTCTACAGACATGTTGACCAAAATAGTCCCACTTGCCAAGTTTGCACACTTCAAGGACTTGGCGGGAGTATGCATCAATTAATGCAACTCTAAGAGAGCAACTTCTAGGTGAAGCTGGTATGTTCATCAAAGCTTTGATTCTTCTTGATTGTTATAACGGGATTGTCCAGTAAGCTTAGAAGTTTTGGCTGAAGTTGTTTATTTGCATGCTTGGAACACAAACCAAGGTGGAGATTGAAAGAGTTGGTTTGGTTCTTGTGGACTCAAACTAAATGGAAGATAAATTAACATGAATATTTGATATGAAAATAATTAGTAAAAAATAAAGCTGGTATCTTGGTAGGTGATTTTTAGGTAAACCATAAAATGGTTTCATATTCTTAACCTGGACATTTTTAACACATAGTGATGTCATGGATGACATCAATATGATGAATTTATTCCTATAAATAGGTAGTTCTTAATTCATTTTCATATCATCCTCTCACTTGCCTTGTAGATATTTGTGTTCTCTCTGTTGTAGTATTTCACTTGTATTCTTTATAGAGTGAAATAAATATTGGAGAAGTTGTTCTTTGATGGACGTTGGATCATTTTTATCCGAACCACGTTAAATATTGTTGTTCTTCCTTGTTCTTCAGTTTCACGTTTACGCAAACAAACAACTCAGTACACGAAACACCCCACATTTAGATAGAGTTGTATAGGCTAACCTACAAAGTGCATTCCTGTCCTTGCTAATTTTTTTCTTCCTTTTTTTGGTTTCCTACCCAGTGCCCCCAATTTGAGATCTGACTAAATTCGAATGGTGTACTCCTATTCTTGGGTAATGATCCTAGCAGGACTTTCTTCAAACTAGTTTCTCTTTCTTACCTCTTCATTTTAAAAATTATATTCCCCATTGATAGAACCCAATTTTTCTCCAGACAACTCCAAAAAGTAACACTATTCCATAAATTTCTTCTTTTCCTGCTACCAAATAAGCAATTTTCATTCTGCAAAACTCTACATTTTTTCTCCATTCTCAAGCAAATATTCTCCATTATCATCTTCCTAATGCTTAGAAGAAACATTCGGCTAGGCTTAATTTAGAAATAAAAATGATTTGGAGGGAGGATGGGGAGACCTGATGGGAGTTGAGACCCCCTGACAAATCGCAAAATCAAACCACATGCAAGGAGCGTATAAGGAGAAAAACTCCATGCTAGATACTTAGCGATGCTATACGAGTCCCCAACAACGAAGATGGTGTTACTGATATTTTGATAAACATCTTGAGCCTGATTAGGTAAACTTTCAAAAGCTTACATATTTTGGTTAGTGTGCAAACTCAAATAGTGTTTCTGAAAGTGTACTTCAAGAAAGTATGTGTTTAGAGATTATAATATAATTGTCAAATGCTAAAATGAGAGGTAGGTTTCAGTATAAAAACAACATGCTACTCCAATCTATGTTCATTATATATCCATCGGTCTTGGAAAAGTAATTTAATATTCTACTGGGGCGGCTTTAGCCGAAATACCTCCTTTCCTGTTTTGTCCATTCAAAGAATTTGACCCACAATACAATCAACAAGAACTAAACAACTATGGCCAAGCATTCACAATGTTGGGAAACTACCAATATTCAGGACACGTTAACTCAGAGATTTTGCTGCGCAAAGGGCACATGAACATGAAGACACCCATGAAAGGTGAGAACAGCGTTGGTCCGAAGTTGATCAATTCTAGCAGGTAAGGTGACCACCTGAAAGAAAAATTATGTCACCCAACTTACTAACGGAGAACCTTTTGATTGTCGTTCACTTCTTAAAGTGTTGTGATCAACAAATAGAAACGTAACAATGATATAGTTTCCAGATCCATTAAAGGAATATCAAGTTTTCTGCATGACTATTTCTCTTTGCCGGAGAAAATTACTAGTCCAAAAATATGCAAGTAACGCAAAGATTGTATTACTGTAGCAAAGTCCAAATTAGTAAAATAAATAGCAATGTGAGTACCTTCTTGAAGGAAGTAACACCCCAAGGATTATCAAGTTGGTGTTGCTGACCGGTGATGACCAGGCAACCAGTCGGATCAGATTGAACCCGTAGCTATGTTTACAAAGATATATGGGCATTAGAGATTTGAGATGGTATAAAAAGAAGAAAACAAATTGAATGCACATGATGGAAACAAAAGGCAACATTAGTTGAAACAATTACCAGCTAAACATTTGTGGTCTTATGATGCTAAATTATTACCTTTGCGGAAATTTTTTTACAGTAAAACAGAAATGAAACAGTAAAGTAGTAAAAAACAAGTTTGTAAAAGCTAGCAGATTATTTAAGTCTCCATTAGAAGTTACTATAGTGCAAATATAAAGAATAAAATATATACACAAGATTTTATGGAGATGCATATCTTTTTATAAAGGTTGGCATAATGAACTTATAAAAAATAAAATATCAACACCATCTATTAGTAGGTTGTTTTTCCTTTTAATGAGATGAAGCTAAAACTGATAACTTAACATTAACCCAAACACCAATTGCAAAAATCAGAAACTATATCATTCCAAGCAATAATACAAACACATTAACAAGTCATGAGAGTGCACACAAGACAACAAATTGAAAGCACTTCAATGGAGACAAGTAGCATAATTTGTATTATACCTCATCTCGTAAAAGCCCAGGCACCAGTGCATAGACCTCAAAGGAATCATTCTGTTTAAATAAAATCATTACAAATCACATGACACAAATGGAAATGCATAATCTAGAGGTTCTTAATTCATTTACTTCTGAGAGGAACTTACTGTTGCACGAACATTGATTTTCACCCAATCAGCGGGGGGTCCAACATCAACAACTTGGACATCTAACCTGGAAGATGGAAAGCAATTTGTCTTTATATCAGAAACGGAAGAACCATAAATAGAGAGAGGTATAGAAATACTATTGTAGTTCCTCGTACTCTTTTTATTTTGGGTAGTAAAAACTGTCGTTGTACAAGATATCTATTCCAACTTAAAACAATAGTAAGACTTTTCTAGTTTCTATCTTGTAGTAATCCTATTCACTATGAAGTTGGTCTTGAGAAGAGTAATAATCCTACAGGGATAAAAAGTTAGAGAATGCATGTGAGCGATGTCCTCAGCCCGACAGTTCCTAATCCTAATGATTAGCGGATTGCATTTTAAGGATGTTAATTTTCATTGCCTGTAGCATGCAACCCAAAAGAATAGATAAACCGCTTGCTCCAATAAAACAAACTATTAGTGGCATTGTATACAAAAGTGGATAGCCTACACAATAATTTATCTAGAACACCCACAAGGGTGACCAAGTTCGTTGAGCAGGGGAACTCCCAAATGGGGGTCTCAGGTTTGTAACTCTCTGCATACTTTCTTGATCGAGCTTGTCATAAGGATTTCTAGTGCGGTTTACATCTTATGAGAGCTTTGTTGTCTATTACACTAGAGTGAGGTTTACCCCATCCCTTTGCAATGTCCAGAATCCAATATTATAACGCTTTTAGTTTCTATAGCACTGAAACATCTCTACATTTTCTACTAACATGTAAGTTTAACAAGACTAACAAACTACTAGAGAGCATTAGACCTAAAGTAAACATACTAACATGAGTTAAAATTAATCCCAACTAATTAATATAGCCTTCCATTGTACGCAATGATGATTTGAAATTGAATGCCATTCAAAGACAAATCCGGCAAGCGACGAAAGAACTTATTAGAATAAAACAAACAACTGCAATTTCAAATGATGGAGTGTAGAATACTAGAGGTACCACTAGTGTTTTTAATAAAAAATTCTTGATTTGATCATAATAACTTAGATTGACTTTAGAGATAAATACATTACAAGAAAGGATCAAGATAAAGTACGACTTAAACGATACTTTTGTTTGATTTTTAATAGTTCGAGATTCTTTTTGGCATATGTACACGAGAACACACGTAATGGATTTATAGAAGATTAGGATCCCTATTTTTCACTAACAAAACCCTAGCTTGCCTAGCTACACCGCCTGGAGCTATGGACACTGCTAACAGTGGTTGGCTACCACTCCCTGGTGGTGAAATCCTACTAATTCCATTGAAAGCAACTTATTTGAAGTCGCTTAATTATGAAGTTCTCATATAGTCAAGCCTATACCTATTAAAAACACAACATACATTGCGAACCAACAATTTTATGGGAGGAAAAAGAAGTGAATACTATGATTATACAAGAGGACTTACAGTTTGCTATCATCGGCAAATTATCTTATGGATGGCCTAAAATGGAGGAAATCCAAAGGCAGAGTGCAAGATTGGTTTTTACGGGATAGGTACATTTTTATTCCGCTCACAACTTTTGAAGATTATGTCCAAGTAATGCAAACGTCCATATTTTATTCGAGCAAAGGAAGGTTTTTATCAAATGAGACACCTCATGTGTGAACCATGGTTTAATCCAGAGGCAGAAACAAGCACGGTTTTAGCTTGGATATCGTTCCATGCTCTATCACATTATATCACATTTTTCTAGAGGCAAGAGAGGATGAAATTGAACTAGATAAGCCATTTTGGATGCTTGAGGCTAGTGGCAATTCCAGCACCAAAGAAAACAAGGCTAGATAAGTCATTTTCGATGCTTGAGGCTAGTGGTAATTTCTCTGTATGGATTGCATGGAACTACATCAGGCACAAAGATCAAGAGGAAGATATTTTCAAAAATATGTGTATTAAAAAGCTGTCATTTAAACAATCTTTTTTCTTATGGAGAATGTGGAAGTTCGGGGTTCCTGTTGAGAACTGGTGCAAAGCATGGGCATTAATTGCATTAAGATACTTTTGTTGGGCACATCCTAAATTTGAGACGATGTCTCACCTTTTTCTAATCTCTAATACATCTGCAAAGTTGGGGAGAATGTCTGGTAATGTTGTAGGTATTCACATTGAAGGGTTGAAGTTATTACAAGTGGTGATTAAATGGTGGGCAAGTGATTGTTGCCCAATTCTAAAACCACATATTATAGTTGTACCAACTTTCATGATATGGAACCTATGGAAGAGGAGAAATAGTCTAAAACATGGGAGCCATCATCCTACAACAATTTTGTTTACATGATCAATTCTAATTTGTGGACTCTGGGAGATGTGTATACCCTAAGCTACAAGATTTACCAGCATGCTGGCCTAAATGGTTTTAGATTTGGAGAAGTATAAGACAAAACTATATTTTCTATACCAGTATCTTTGAAACCACTAGAAGGAATTCTTAAATGCAGTACTAATGGTGCATCTAGAGGTATTCCAGGAAGAATTACTTATTGCTTTATCATTAGAAACTTTATTGGCGATCTAATCTATGCACAACGGGAAGAGATACAAGAGGGGACTAACCTAGCAGCAGAAGCAATATTAATTAGAGAGGCTTTGGCACATTGTGTTACAAAAGGAATTAGACAAGCGTGTCTAGAAACAAACTCACAAGTGCTAATCAAATTTCTCACAAGGGTGTGGAAAGTGCCTTGGAATTTAGTGGTGATAATTGATGACATAAGGGGATTTTCTCAAGATTGTCAAGTTTCAATTCAACATTTGCACAGAGAAGGTAATACTTTTGTTGATTATTAGCTAATTTTGCTGTAGAATTGTTTATAATTCTTTTATAAAATTACCAAGACAGGGTAGGAAAATCGTAAACCAAGAAAAGAAACAATTTGCTATGTTAAGAATCAGAAAAAGAAAATAGATCAAGAACGGGATGGGGGAAAAGAAAATAAAGTGACATTAATCACATGAGAACTACAAGAATTTTTAGAAACATACCAAACATCGAGAATAGTACAATCCAAGAAACTCAAATGTGTCACAAGTGTTGATTTTCAATGAAGTTGATCTCAATTTACAATTTCATCAACAAATATTATAGAACTTTATAGATCTAGTGGCAGAGCTTTACAATGCAGTATAGAGATACAATTTTTATTAGTATAAAAAGACATGAGAAGAGGTCGGTTTAGAAATTACAAAGGAAGGTACCGCAGCAAGACGTTACGGAAAAAAATTCTTGATTGGTTGAGCTCATGGACACAATCGCACGAACCTTTGCACTACAAGGAAGACGGACTGTTAGAGGAAGGAGATAAGAAGAGAAAACAAGGTTTAGAGGGAATAAATCTTACCATTTTTTCGGTCTAGCCTCAGATGAATTTGATGGAGAATTCCCAAATTTGCAGAAAAAGAGGGTTGTTTGGAGCTTTCCTAGTAGACTCGCCCTTTCAAGTTCTATAATTTTTGTTTTTGGTGGGCTGGCCACTTTGGGCCAGTAAATAAAGTTGTGGATTTCCATTTAGTTAGTGGTGCTTAAGAGAACAAGAATACAACAAAAAGTTCTGTTGCAGTCACTATTCCCTTTAATAGAGTATAAGTTATAGAAAAAACTAAAGATCTCCGATGATGATCCTGATAGTTACAATATTAACTAATAGCTACTAAAGGCCAAAGTTTTGGAGAGTACCATCTAACTTCATATTGAGAAATGGTGAGGAGAAAACAACTCTTTATAGATATACATGAAAAAGTCAAGTTGGCAAAGAATTGACGAACAATCTTGCCACTAGTTTTTAGGCTCTTCGCACGCTTTGACGTATTGTGGGCACTCCTGTCCCATACAAGATGAAAAACACCAAAATTACTTGTAAATGGAAACAGACAAGATCTAATTGATATATCAATACCCAAAAACTTCTACAAGGATTCAGCAGCAGACCTTTATAACCTCACCATAACCAAGAAGGTGTTGCTCCTGCTAGTCTACCCTACAACGAGCAGCTGAATATCTTACTGCCCTACCTGATGCAGAAATTTTGTAACCACTTCCATGAAAAAATTCTTAAAATACTTAATTTTTGTGTATATATACCTTTATTTCAAGGCTACATAAGTTAATTCGACAATTACATGATGTAATAACAAACTTCATGACGTAATTGTTTTCCTAGTGGCCCTTATCCCAAAGTAAGTCCATACTGATTTCCGTCGAAGTCAACTAAAGAAGGATCTCTGTGATCAACTTTGATAACTTGATCAAAGTCAAATAAGTCGATGATTCAACTACTTAAAGTAATAGGCTTCTCCATATATCAATTAAAAGGAGTACAACATATTGTAGATGTGAAGGCACTTAACATAACAAAAATGTACACATAGTGTTACCTCATTGTCACCCAAAGAACTAGGAGGAGGAGCAATAGGAAGTTGAAGTCTCCGTTTTTTGTCATATGCCTTTCATATTGGAGAAGTTACTAACATACAGAGAAATCATGATACAATAGAATGTGCATAAACAAAAAGTAAGAGACAAAAAACTTCTTCGGAAAAATTCTATTCAAAATCACCATATCAGCATTGATGCCTCGTGATGAAATTCTTTATTCAAGTGACTTTATAGGCCTTAAAAGAGTGCCTGTTAGTAAAAGGTTTTTAAGCTCGTACTACAAAAAACACCCACAACTTTTTTGATAAGGTTAAATAATTTGTTAATGACTGAGGAAAAATCCATATACAAGCCTTATACGAATCAATTTCCCTTCAAAAACTCTCCCCCTCTCCTTCTGCACAACCCACATGAGAGATAACATCGCAAACCACCTACACATAAACAAGGCGACATAATTCAGAACTCAAAAACTCACCTTATACCAAATATTAGTAGCATGGTGGACAATAGTAAAAATATGCTAATACTTATCAAGGGAAGAAAACTTCAGGTTATTAACTTCTCATAGAACCTTCACAAATAAGATTATCAGAGCCTCAAAAAAGCATTTAGAGAGCCGTATTAAAGTGGATAGATGGCATTCGTCTTGTCATACATATTTAGTTGATTGTCATTCCAGTAAATTCTTATGATTTAGTTTATTATCATTCCGGTATATTATTATCTTATTTGAGCATCAAAAGATATCTTGCACATTATAGCCCCATTCTATATTGTAACTTACTCATCTAATTGGAAAAATCAGACATCGACACTCATTTCACATTGAGTAAATCTAGCATAAGGAAGCATCCCGTCTGTATCTGATAAAGTCTAGACTCCCTATTCAGAAGCATCTGTAAATATTTTAGGCTTCAAATACCTGGTGCTTAACTGCAGAACCAACTTCCACCACTAACATACATGTATAATATCCCTCATCGTCTTTATTTGACAAATACCTAATAGAAAGAAAGATGCAACATTCCTTGGATATATTGCTGTTTGTATTTAATGAAGTGTATGTTTCTTAGCACTTAAAGCCTAAGTTGATAAGAGACTAGGAGAGGGTGTCCGATACGGGTGCGGATCTAGATGTTGGGTCCTTCATGATAAGATTCAGGTATATGGATTCTTGTAACGATACGGGTGCGGGGATTCAACTAAAATTAATTAAATATAACAATTTCCATTTAAAATCATGTAATAAAGGGACTCTTCTTTTTAAAGTTTTTTAATGACATCTTTAACCTTGAGCATACATTGACTCACATTTTCTTTTCGATCATTTAAATTGTAATTGTTAAAAAAAACACATCAAAAGAGGAATGGGAAATTGGGGTCCTTAAATGGACTTGGATGAACCTCCCCTCATGAGTTAGTTTTTGAGGTTTAGGTAGACTCGGGTGTCATATCTTTATATGACATTAGAGTTAGACTCATCCCAGTTTGTTGTTCACCGATGTTGGGTCCTCATTTATAATGGTTCACGCTCTCGTTGAGCTCTGGCTATGGGGGAATGTTAAGAAATCACACATTGGAAGAGGGATGAGAACTTCAACTCTTAATATGGAAATGGACAAACCAACGCTCATGATATAGGGTTGAATTTCGTACATTTGTCATATCTTTCAAGAAATTACCGTTAATTGATAACCTTTTTAGTTGATGAATTAGATTCATCATAAAAAAGGCAATAGTTTATCTTTTCTATATAACAAGATTACGTTACTCGTTGGATTTCTTCATGACATTTCCTACTAAGTGATTTATATGAATCATTAATTTTGATTTCATGGAGTTTGTCACTAATTCATATAATTCTGTATATTGAAAAAATTGTTATAATTTAAGTAAAATAACTATTCCAAGTGCTATTTTGAACCAAGGCTTCAAGATTCAAAAAATTATTTACTTTCTTAAAGTCTATGTCAATTTCAAACCAAATAAACACTTGAAACAACGTGAGTAGTTATTAAGGTTGTATATAGTTCATGAACAATTGTTCTACCACCTTCTTGTATGCTGTTTTAGCAACCAAGCAGCTTATTACTCTTACATGTACAGAAAATATATGGTAACATTTCACATCCAAGAAACAGAAATAAACTTCAAAATCTTGGCACATCATCAGTAAAACATTGACACATATATATTGGGGAAGTTGATGTTTGATAAATAAAGGACAATTGTTCTTACCCAGTTGCCCAAAAACATAAATAACTAGCCCCAACTAAATGCTCGATTGGGGCGGGGGGGGGGGGGGGGGATTAAAGGAGTCTCCCACTTTCCGCAACAACCTTAATTCAGTTACCTAAAAAGACAAGGTAATGTATACACCATCAAAGGTAGATGGGAATAACATAAAATTCATCTCACAAACTCATAACATGTTGCATCATTAATTTATCTAGAAACAAATAAAATACACAACCACCACGTGATTCTTTTTTAATTATACTATAAACTATGGAGCTACATTGCTTATTTCTTAAAAATAAATTTATAATACCCTCTCTCAAGCTTGAGGTTCACAGTGTGATATTTGGAAAGAGAAACATAGCCCTCAAGGATGCTTTTCACACGGCTGTATGAATAACCAATGAAAAGACTTTCACAATAATGACAACATAAAATACCCGGTCATAGCAACCTAATCTATCACAGATCTCCATAACCTAGCAAGAGAATATGACAAGATATAATTCGTTCCAGGAACAAGATGAAAATAAAAAGGCTCAATGATAAAATATTTATACACTTGCTTTAGGAAATTATGTTGTTAACCATAAGACATAGGTGGTTTAAATTCCATGCCCTTCTCCCGATAAAATGTGCTTAGTTTTCCTGTAAAAGCAGCTTGAACCTCATGGGACCCTTCATCATCCTCACCTATAAATGCAGAAGAACCTGTAACTTCGGTTGTGACTTTTGGAAACTTGTCCTCTGATCTATCAACCATCATATTATTCCCATTTTTATTGACCTCATAGATCATGTTGTCACTCTGATCAACTTCATTCACTTCTACTTCATCAATATTTTTTACTTCATCATTAGTCAACGTCACATAAACACTTACCATCTCATCCGTTCCAGCATCAATAGTAAGTTTTTTGTTCTCGAACACCACATTGTTGTATGCCTGTGGCTAACTCTTAACGTTGAGTTGGTCCTCTATCACTCTTCTAGTATTCTTCAAGTCCTTTCCCTTCGAATAACTCTGATCATGTGTCTTTTCCTCAACATTGATTTTGTCAGTCTTAACTCTACTTTCGTACTTGACCGCTGACTCATTGGATACAAGGACATCACTAGTACAGGCATTCCTTTCCGCATTAAGCATCTTTAAATCACTCTTATCCATTCTAACAACAAGTCACCGGAAACATATCATATGTATCAAATTTTGGCGCTCTAATGCTTATCTACTCAAGAAAAGCACCCAAAAGAAAAATGAAAGGGAAGAAATAACTTCCAAAAGAAAAGATGATATGTACTACTCATTCCACTACTTATATGATCCTCCAAAAATTTCATACCTTTATTTAAAATCATATTTTTAAAAAGAAAAGAAACTTTATATCTGATTTATTGCATAACTTCATTTCAAAGGTTGTGACTATAATTGTTTTTGAGTTTTTGCGAGTGATTTGGAGTTAAAAAGTACTTTTTTCAAATCCTCTCAATTTTCATGGCCAAACTCCCTTATACATAAAATATATTAGTAAAAGCATGCATTTCTCCACAAGAACACTTATAAAAAGTCATAACCCTAGTTTCATCAAAACAAAGTTCAAGATACGAAAAACAAACAAAACAATCTTGTTTTTGTTCCCCGTATGTTAACTCTAAAAAAATGAAAAGTAAAAGAATGTCCTCCCACAGATCAATTCACCGAAAAAACATCAAAATTTCATCCATATCTCAAATGTGTTGGGTTTTTTTAAATTTTTCAAAAATAAAGCAATGTTCAACCGATAAAGAAGTAATGAGAGGGAGTGAAAAAACATACAGAAATCCATCAAGTTTAGATCTGCAATCGAGATCGAGGTTGATTAAGAAAAATAGCTTAACAAAGAGTGAAAAATCGTGAGGTTAACCCTCCAATGGTGGCCTTTGCTTCTTCAATTATTTTTGGCACTAAATAACTAAAGGGTGTCAGTAGGATATGAGTTAGTTCTTTGTCTTTATGTGAGACTTTTTGAAAAAATAACTAAAATGTTACTTGATTTACTAGCAATGTTTTATCTTTGTCTTTTAAAAATATTTTGGAATAATTTCAATTAGATATGATAAACTAGTAATAATATCCGCGCCAAGTGCGGAAATTTAATATTAGAGATATCACGACCCAAGCCATCGTGATTGACACCATACTATTCCTCCGGTGGGAGAACCATTACTACAACCCAACCAATAAACCTAACAAAAAACTAGGCCTTTAAAGATACAAAAGTAGTTGAAATAACTAAATTGTTTATTAAGGAACTAAACAAATGAATTAACACTGATGCAGAAATACAATCCCTAAAACCTGAAAGTCATTGCACAGAAACTCTACTGACGAAGAGTCTATGAACAAGGGGTAGAACCTCAAAACTAAACGATACCTTAACAAAGAGTCTAAGTCCAAAAAAAATTTGACTTAAACAAAAGATAACTCAAGGAATCCTTGAAGAACTACCTCACCCTTGAATTTGAAACTGTCACTGATCTTCTTAACGAGGTCTGCAATAGTTGCTAGAAGATTTCCTATACTTAACAAAAATAAGAGCAAGTGCAGTATCAGTACACAATCATAGTAGGATCACACGACTGTCCCAATAAGAGAAACAAATGTAAATAACCACAACATTATAAAACTTGCATATACCAAACATATATAATATCATCATCATTCACATCAACAAACAGTTTTACAATTCTCAACAATATACAAATTAAATTATTTTAGAGAAACAATTAGACATTCTATAACAATAACCATTACATATGAATGTAATCATCACAAGTACATACATAACACAATTCAGTGGTCCTCTCAGGGAACCCAATCCAATGGTCCTCTCATGGACACAAACCCAAATGATTAAATTACCGAAATATACCAAACAATCCCATATTTATACAAAAACGTGGAAATCAATCTAATAATTATGCCAGAATATGAAAATTTGATCCAATATTTATGGCGGAATGTGGCAGTCTAATCCAATATGTATTCCAAAACGTGGCAACCGATCCCATAATTATCACAGAACATGGCTATTTGATCCAAGTTATCTTGCCGGAATGTGACATTTCGATCCCTTTCACACACCACAAACATACACACAAGTACATCATCAAGATCATACAACAAGAGATGATTCATGACATCCAATTATTCAATCATTCTCATTTACAATTAGGGTGATCAATAATGCAACATTCGCATACATAAATGCATTATAACAAAAGAATTACAATCATATATCACACCGAAATGAATTCACAACCATCAGCTACCTCGAATTCAATATTGAATCCCCTAAGGCATTTGATTCTTTCCTTTTTGAATTCTTTCCGCTTATTCTAGGTCTTCACAATTAATATACATAATATCACTAATCAAAGGTCTAATTATTCGGAGTATACAAACCCAATAACCTTAGACAAAACCTAATATCCTAATACCCAATTTATGACTTTTTCCCCATAATTCTCATATCAAAACCATTCCCGGTTGATAATAACCCAAGAAAATAGGTTCTATCGAAAAACAAATTTCGAGAGTTAAAATCTAACCTTAGCCTCAAGAATGGTGAAAATAGTCAAGAACTCGCTTGGTGTCATCTACCTAGCTCTAAAACTCGAAAAGTGCCAAATAATTTTGTTGTTTATTAATGACTTTAAGTTGTGTCTGGCCCACAAAATCCCACCCCAGCGGCCTCAATGGAGACAGAATGTGTATCGTTCACACTAAGATCATTTTTGGGAGTTCTACTCTCCCAAATTCGATTTCATAGAGTTGTACGGGTTCTTGGTCGTCTTACCTCTCCACTCATGTAATCAAATTCACAATTAGATATCTGAATCATTACTATATTTCCCTATACCTTAATTACTCTGATTTCTTCTAAATATGGACTAGGGTAGGAATTCCAAGTTACTTCCAAAAAGTTTTTTGGCTCTAATTCTTTCTTCATTGACTTTTCCCTAATGATTGAATCAGGTCATCACAATAGATATCAATTTACCCATCACTCGTCCCAGAGTGATCAATTAGGAAAGACTAGCTAAAGTAAGGGTAGAGTAGTGTCTGAATCGTCATATTACTAGGCACACTTGTATGGCATGCCCTTCTTTCCCAATCTGATTACCCCGCTAAAAACTTCACATCTCCAACCTCAACCCAACAAACTGAATACCTACACATCCTCCCTTACAATGTCTTAATGAAATGATCCCAATATTCAAATGATAAATATTGTTGTATGCAAACATAATTAATAAACAAAATGAATACCAACAACCACAAAAGTTGATCATACACATGTCTGCCACATGCTATAAAGGATCTTGATACAATCATCGGGACTAATCCTTTCTCACATAACCATGATAAAATCCAAAATTAAAACTCACCACAATTAGAGGTTAACCTAAACCAACCAACACATGTTCATAATACCCAAACAACCTTAGTTCTTATCAACATCTCCATCTCACAACATAAATTTCCATAAGCTTAAGTTACAAATGTTTTTATATTTAGACATCAGAAATACTCCTTGAGAGATATGTCCAAACATACAAACCAAAAAACCATCTAACAACATTATCGAAGAATTAGTAATTGTAGATTACCTTTTCAAATCAGTAGAATTGGTTTCAATGATCCCCACATTCAACCATACATAATAGATACATGACCCCAATGACGAGATGAATATTAAGATTGTCAGACAACCATAAATATTCATGGTAACTCTCATTTAGACTCTCATAAACAAGGTGGTACATGTAAAACCACATAAATATTGTAAAATTTAAGACAAAGTTATCTAGAACAACCATGTCTTCCTAACTCATCGTACTCAACCAAGAGAACATCACAGTTGTATATCTGACCCACCCCTAGGGATCAATCACAAAATAAAAACATACATAAGCATAGCGAGTGCATCACACTCACAACATTGTACAAAATGAAATAGATGGTCACATAAGAAATTATCAAATTACATGAGAGGTTTTTCTCTAATGAGTCAATACAAGTCATTTCCATTCACTTGACTCCACATGCTCTTCACATCATTCCACTGAAGTCCACACTCTCAATACTAACAACCATCATGAACACTGTTTATTCAACTTACTCTGAACCAACACTTTTAGAATGAAAACCTTCCTTAGATACTTTAACAATCAAAAGTAATAAATTTTACAGCTCAAACCAAATCCTCAATACTTGATACAAGTGAACATTCCACACCTTTGCAAATTCATACCTTGAAAAAATATATCAACACGAATGTAGATTTACTTAGAAAATATAAATTGTAAATTAAATTGTATAACACAATCCTTGTATCTATCAACATTAGCTTATGTCACAAACATTTTTATGAATTCATGGATCTTCTGTCATAAGGAATCACATATCTATTGATCTTATAATATTTTTTTGCTAAACCTCAATCGTACTCCTCACTAAACTCAAAACAAAACAAGTCACTTATCATCACACTTGAGCTAATGTTTGTACTCTCTTTCCTCGAGTCTTTTCCAATAGTTTATAACCAATCTGATGGACTTGTGACACTATTACCATAGTCAAAGAAAAATGACAGAAATCATTTGTCTCTACACCCAAATATATATCCCTCGAACGATACCTCTTTATCCCTTATAAACAAATACAATATTCTTTCTCTCGCATCACTCTAAAGGTTGCACTTCATCCCACTATTTTTCTTTATTATGACTCTAGCTCTTTATTTCTATTTGAATGGTGTCCTGTATCTCTTAAAATTTCCATACAACCACGTTACTCACCAAATATTAGAATACTAAAACCTTGGATACTCGCAAGTCATA